ATCTTGACCTAAGACTGCTGCAGGTTTCCAGCTAAACTGGTTATGCTCACAAGCTGATCAAGACCGGTTACGAAGGAAACACAGTATTTGGATAATGGTCCTGGAAAAGCTTTTCATTAGGGCACAGTGCTTCTTTTTTTTCCCCATAAAAACAAGTATACTAGGCCACTTTTGGATGCACGCCATCAGTGCTTAATTAGACAATACTGACCATTTTCCTAGGAACTGGTGTAGCTGTCTCCTACCACTCCCTAGCTTGTAATGAATCCTGTGACTCAAGTTTCTTGGCACAAAAGGTTGTCTCATACCCCTCCTTCCTGAGCTAACATACACCACTTCTGCATTTCCAGAGATGAACTTGGAGACCTGGTTCCTTATGCTAATTCTCTGCTAAAGCAGACTGATAATTTGTGTGCTGTTATACTCAGGAGGATCTTGGACTTTGCCCTTGACATAAAATTGCACAAGATGCAGAATTAGGAATAGAAAGAGAGGGTGGCAGTGTTCCCGAAAAGGGATATTCATCAAAGCATCCAGAGCTATAATGCTATGTACCAGTGATAGATAAGAATGTCAGCCCTACTACTGTTATCAAGAGAAAAAGTTAATGATTTATATCTCGGCAAGATGCACGTTGGAAATGAGCTACAGTTCTCACAGCAGCAAAGAGTTATCACCTGCCATCAAGCATTCAAAATGCAACATTCTGCATTATCATCATATATCAATAATGAATGAAGTTTGAATATAAATTGTGAAAGTTCTTGGACTAAAAACAAGCTTAAAAATATGGTAGTTCTTTATAATTCATTCGTAAAATCAGATGGTTTTTAGAAGAACGAGAACCCTGGAAATTTTTTCAGAAATTTCTGCAGGTAAAAACACACTCATGGTTCTATGTTTAATGTGGAAGTGCAGTTATCATAACTGCGAGAGCAAAGGTATATGCAAATGATTAGGCAAAAGTTGCTTGCATGCATAATTACTGACATGGCATATACAGTTGTGGTCATAATGTGTGCAAATTTGGCATGCTTTTTTTTTTTGCACAAACTTTTCTGCCAGATTTGCTCTGGATGTCTGAGGCTGATATACTGTAGTAACAGCTTTCATATGCAATGTGATCCCATTATGCTTTTCAGTTCATAGTCCCCCCAGGCTTCTGTGTCACGGTATTAGCATTGGAACATCACATAAAGCAGAACCAGGAGCTCCAAGAAGCTGTGAAAGAGCTCACCCAAGTGGCCTGGTAAGATGAACTTATCTGCAAGTATTTCTTGTGTGTCATTGGATATGATTCCTGCTTTATCTTCAAGGTTTGGGGCCTTCAGAATTTCCTGCATTCACTTAAAAATAGAGTGCATTTTTTTTTTTAAGTGAGTGTCACACTTAGAAGGAAACCTATTTTCCACTGTGGTCTTTTCCTTAGAATTTGCTGACGGATTCAAGCACACTGATTTAGCACCAACAGCATCAACACGATAGTCTCAAGTGTGCCCCTCACTCTATTTCTGACCAAAATTAAACTTGCCGCGGTTCACAATATGTTTTCAGTGCCTATTTTTTGGTTTGTAAGCATAACAATGGAGGCAGATGGAGTTATTTTAGTTTGATATCCATTTTGTTATTTTTTTTCCAGTAAAATTAAACCAGGAAATCTCCAGGAGCTTTGCAAAAGGTAAAACCTATACATCAGATCCATTATATCTTCATTTCTCTTCCATGCTCCTTTGCAGTTGGAACTGATATGACTCATTTGGGACCGTCAGATGGGATGGCAGGAAGCTCTCTTTGACCTATAAAATCTAAGCAGCAGATGTTGGAGCTCCTTCAGAGACAAGGAGGACCATGAAGGCAGTAAGACCAACATGGTTTTCCTATGCAAGAAGGGTGGGATTTGAGAAAGCCATACATGTACTTCCCAAATTCTGTTCAGCACAGTTGGCTCTTGTGGTTCAATGCTGAGGATGGGCGTGAGAGTCGGGGAAAGGGTGGCAGATATAGGATCGATGTGGGAGTTCACATGAGTCCACATCTCAGCACCACCAGGCCAATGTGGAGATCCGGATGCTTAGCACCTCTCAGACTAGACTCAGAGATTTGCTGGCACTCAGGAATTACAAGAACCTTGTCTTAACTTCATCGACAAGGATCAAAGCACCAGTTCATTGTATGAATTTATGTTTCATTGGCAGACTATGCTAATTCAGACTGCTCTGTGTGCCACAGATGCTCTGAAATGTTCAACGCCACCAGGCTCTCCCGTGTGCTTCAGCGGCTGGATGAACTGGGGTTGCAGCAGGAGCTCCTAGCAGTCAGGTCCAGTCCTGTTGGAGAAGACACAACAGAAAGGGCTGCCGCTGGATGACAACACTCAGAGCTGGGAGTTAGGGGGAGACAGCAGGTAAGGTGGCTTCCTCTGGGTGACAGCCGCTGTTCTCTTTGCTGCGGTGTGCAAGGAAGGTTTCTGTATCCCTGTGTCAGCCACAGCCATGCTATAATTACCCATGCCAGCTAGATGACAACTAGACGTGCTCCAATCACACCTTATCGCTGCTGTGCAGACATCCCTGAAATCTTCTCATATCTCAACCAACCTACTTTGTTCTTCGTTATCCCTTCACTACATTTTTTATGTCTTGGGATCAAGAGCAGAAAATCCACTCAGTCGGGCTTTCCAACTAAAGTAGCAATGACTACGCTCCACTCGTAGTACATTTGAATGGGAAAGTGGGATCCGTGTAGGGATGACGAGGTTGGATTTAGCAATATGCAAGCTAGGCTGAATATCAGGGGAAACATTGCTAACTGTGAGATGCATTAGTCGAGGAAAAAGATAGACTCTCAACTGCCTTATTATTTAGTGGTAATGTCCATAAAGAACCACTGAGAAAACTTTAATAGGAATCAGTGAATGATATGGTTAAAAGTGGATTAGTTACTGCACTTAACTCCTGGGCCACCATTTGAAATCAAGCCTCAATTCAGTTTAGGTTAATTCCCTTTGGAAGGGGCTAAAATAAATCAAGTTTGGTCCATTGAATAAAAGTGTCCACACAGGAGGACCAAGCAGCGGAGGAGAGAGATGGAGGATTTCTTCTTTTCTCACCTCTCTGGCTGAGAGGACACAGAGGTGGCTCAAAGAAATGGAGAATACTGAGCTTTGCCCGAATGCTCAGTTGCAAACTGCAGGGGTTATTTTCCCCATAAGCTGGGTCCAGTCCTGGGTGGTGCTGCATGGTGCATGATGGTCTGGGTTGTTTTTCATCACAGGTGTGGGGGACAATTTTGGCCTGCTGGGTCTCACTGTACTCCTTCCCGGCTGTACGGTATCGCCATCAAAGAGGACAGCTGATCCCGTCACTCATGGGGGTTGTCATTCAGCAAATGGTGCCAGCTGAGGCTGCAGGTGAGATGCTTGTGTGTTGGCTGGTGCTCAGCTCTCAGTTTTTCTTCTCTTGGTTTTGTACATGGACTTTGTGTGCTGCTGCAGCAGCCTTGGAGGTCTCTAATCAACCCGTGCAGCCGCTTGGCTAGTATATCGGCATAGCATTAGCTCCTTTGCCTCAGTCTCCCACTGTACCATTGAGTGCTACTACGGCTATCGTCAGAGCACAGGATGGTGGCTGGATTTATTCGTTGGAGGCCTTCTCCCTTGCTTTGTGTGGCTAAAGGTCATTGACTTCAGGGGGGTTTTTTCATGCTGTATTCACTGTGCAGAGCTGGCAGTATGAAGGGAAAGACTGAAAAACAGGATTTGGATGTAGGTGTGTCTACGTCTACTGCCTACTAATGTTGCCCAGTGCTTCTTAGTATGAGACCCAGTTTCCAGTTGCTTATGGCTTTGCCAGAAGTTAACCATTTGAACTGAAATTATGTATGTTGAACCATTTGAACATGAAATTATGTGACTGTCAGCCTTAATATATTCTTTAATTTGTGTGTGTGTATGTTAAGGAGAATGGATAATTTCAGATAAGGACAATGGATAATTCACAAGTAATATATTTTTCCTGTTTATTCTCTTGTAGTTTCCTTCTTTGAGACCACCCACAAGAAAATTACTTCTTGTTTTCCTCATTTCATTCAGGGTTCATGTTTATTCAGTGATATTTTTTGCTCTGCTATTATGAGTTTGCTGTGCCTAAATACAGTGGGTCGAATAAAAGGTCACCCCAAAAAACCCTTGCCTCTATTATTTGATACTTGAGATTCAGATTGGGCTACTTAACTGCAATTGCTCAGAGACGTTATATGATATTATTTGCAACCCCTTCTACAGACAGCTTTGAAATTTGCCCGCCATGAGTTTTTGTCCTAGTAAAACTCAATATCACCAGTGTGGACATAAGCAACTCAGGCCTGGTTGAGGTAAAGCCACTTGAGATTGTAGGCAGACATCTGTGAATGCTGCTTTAAGTTTTATTTCCACTAAGCATTTTGAAGTCATTTTTTTTTCTTCCCCCATAAAATATCCATTTCAGGAACGCTGTTCATTTGTGACCCACTTATGGGGCATCCTGGGAAGATTATCATTAAAGCCAACTATGGAATCGGGGAGGTTAGTGAAGACCTTTGCTGTTTAAATATAATTTTGGAGCCATTGGGAGAGAGAGAAAATAGGAAGGAAATAGGATAACAAGGATGTCACTGGTATTGCTCTCTTGTGTACATCTGATTGGTTTGTTAGGGGGTTGCTTCATAGTTATTCAGTCCTTTGAAGGTGGGAACGTGTATTCCCCACATCTCTAATTCAGGCTGGTTATTCTTCAAGAACTGATTGCGATTCCCAGGCGTGTTTGTCACTCGCTCGGTTCAAGCGTGCTGTTCTCGCTCTGCGGAGACAAGTTCCTTGGCCATCTCCTTTTCTACCGAGGAGAAGTTCTGCAGAGCCTTGCTGCATTTGAACTCCTTTCTCCTTGGAAAGAGGGATTTGGGATGAAATGTGTGCCCAAGTCGAAGAGCTGAAAGGTCATTTGGGTTCATCACTCCATAATTCAAGACTTCCCTACCCTGCTGCTTACACTGGGCCAACCCTTCTCAAACCTAGCGGACCTCTGCGGAGAACCGTTCAGGCAGCTGACAACGTTTCTGTTGGTGGAGCAGAAAGAGAGAGCACTGAATGCAACTTCCAGTTCTCTTCATTTGTTCCCTTGAAACGCAATGGAGGGAGAACTGGAGTCCTCTTGAGTTGTGTTTTGCTCGTTGTTGAAGCATGTAGACTTTTGCTTGCGTATAAGGGCCAACATCTTGAGTCTCAGCCTTTTCTGTCTGAACTGTCCATAACCTACAGTCATCTATGTGTCCGGAGCCCACGGAAGAACCGCGTTAAGCTTAGCATAAATCACTTCCCAAACCCCACCTTTGAACTGTGTAAAGTGGCCCTCTGCCACAGCTCCCATCCCGGTGGAAAGAATCACCGTGGGCAGCAATCCCACAGCCCAAGAAAACAGGAATTACAGAAGCATTACGGGTCTAATGAGGAGCATTTAAAGATTTGGCAGAAAGCAGTAAAATGGAGGAAGCTCACAGCCAGAAGTGCAGTGTCCCATACAGTTCTGCGCCGGTCTGGCACAAAGGAAAGCAGCCAGAGGGTGGTGATAGCAGTGCCTTATTGCGTCTGGGCTTCGAGGGACCTGGAGAGAGGCTGAACACCTGCTATTCTGATTACAGTCAACAGGCCAAATCCTGATGCAACTGAAGACTTGCAACTCTCACTGGAGCTGTACATAGGCTGCCTTTATTGGCTCCATTTAAAGAGACATGCTATTCAAGAGAGTGCTTTGTGGAGGGGTATTGGCATCCTAGGCATTTCACATCAGTCTACCCCTAGCCACAGCAAATACTTTCCTAATGTTATTTCCCTGTATTGTCTTCTTTAAATGTATATCTTAGCATGCATCCCTTGCACAGCAAGTAAGGTTCTTTGGGGGAATCTGATTTCTTTTATTAAACCAACTTAAATAGTTGGAAAAAAATTTTTTGCAAGCTTTCGGGTTCAAAAAGAGATCAGAGTCACCTTGTCTGCCTATGGCCTTAGACCAACACAGCTACAACCTACACCCCTGTTGCATAACAAATATCACTCGAAGGGCCCAAGATGTATTTGCATTGCAAGATGGAAGCTTATTCTTTTCATTTAGGTTTATTTTTACAGTTTGAAAAGCCAAGTCACTTATTGAATCCCTAAGAGCTCCACAGAGAGGAAAAATTTACAAGAAAATGCACTGCCTGGGTGAATTTTCTCTGAAAAGCAATGATTTACTCAGCAAATAGCTCCCAAAAAAACTGCCTAAAATTGAGCTCTCCGTTCAACACTGAACTGAATTTGAGATTATCCAAGTAGAGTGATTGAAAGAAATCCCTTCAGAAAAAAACTGAGCATCCACTAAGAGTCCTGCATTGCTTCCATAAAAATTCGCTCTCTTCTTTTTTGAGTGAAAGTTGCTCTTTACGGGGCTTTTTAAATTAAAGCATCGAAACGTAAGTAGAAATGTAGGTAAATCCTGAGTAAGGCTAGGAATCAGTCTCTCCTGCAGGAGCCGTTGTAAAGGCTGTGTGAATTTACCCATCAGATGCACTGTGCTTTCACAGTTTGGGTATTTTTTCCTGCAGTGTCTTTAGCATTCATGCGAGACAGGAGACGACTAGTCCAGAGTACGAGCGAGGTGCAAGTGAAGTTCATTCTAATCTGGCTATAAACTTTTACAGTGTATTTTAAATCAAAGGGAAGAGGCTGAGAACAGCTAAGTGGCTTTCAAGCTTTCTTGAAGGAATTAAGGCCTCTGCGGAGTAATTTACCTAACAAGCTGTTTGATCCAGTTATAAATAACACCACTGACCGAGACCAACAAAAGCAAAGGCATCTGCTCAGTTTACAAGTGATATGTTTTATATACTTAGAGAAAGCAACAGTGAATGATCTTTTTCTATTCCAAAGGAGAGATAAAACCTTGACAGTTGCCAGGTGGATTATTGTGGTCTCCAAGAATAATATTTCTTGGCGCCCCTATGCTCAGCGCTTCTCCATTATTCTTTCAATCTGCTCGAGGGCTCTGCAAGCCGGGACATATTCAGAGGCCTTCATAGAGATGTGGGAAGCTAACCTGTACCCCCTAAGTTGTAACAGGTTGAGCTGCTTATAAGAAAGTAAAGCAGCAGCAGTTTGGGAAGGGTGATCCCGATGAGCCTGGAAATGCAATTATATGGGAACGGAGATGGCTTTCTATAGAGTTTATTGCCGTTTCCTCCAAAGAAGTATATTAGTCTGAGAAGACCATAGGTCAAATCCACTCAGTCAATAGCTATTTCCACATGTTACAGCATAACTGCTGTCCGAGAACAGAGGATCATTTTGAACCATGAGCTGTGCCTATGGGAAAAGAATTGTTTGTGGCCTTGGTACGATGGTGCCATGATCCAGGAAAGTTACCAAGTCGCACCTCTATGCAATATGCCATTGTCAGCCTTTCTGTTTGGAAATGGGTAGTGATAGCACAAGGTAGTGCTGTCACAAGTTTTTCTTTTGCATAATGAATTTGGTGAGCTCTGATGCATTTCACGGTGGATGGGGAGCATTTGTTGTCCCTGTGGAAGCACAAAAAAACACCAGCAGTAGGATGGTAGATCTTCTTTCTTTCTTTTTCCTTCTCCCCAGTCCACAGTGACTGGCAACGTGGAGCCCGATACAATCACTCTCCTCCACAGCCCCAAAAACGGACTCCAGGTCGCCAGTAAGAAGATTGGATCAAAGAAGCAATATGCCCATTTGAGCGGTGAGTGTTGTGATGTGTAACCATCTTCCCAGTCTTTGTCTGCGTGCAAATTTTCTCTTTAAATCAGAACACACATGGCCTTGGGTTTGCATAGTGATGCCTGCAGGAAGCAGTAGTTAGCAGGTGGGTCTATCATACAGGATACCTTACAGAGCCTGGGGATCCAGACTACCTGCTGGCTTTAGCTTCACATGTTGGCACTTTTGGCCTCTCCAGACACAGTCCTCTCTGCCTAAGAGGTAGTTTCCACATCTCTTTTAGAGATACTCATGTGCATCTATTCCTGTTGTATCTTAGCCTCTCACAGAAGTTAATATAATGATCTTAACAGCACTGTGGTGGGGTAAGTCAGTACATATTACCATTTTACCAAGGGAGACATTGGGACATGCACAAAAGGGATTGATTTCAGGGAGAAGTAGGCACCTAATTCCTTCTTTACCCAAGGAGGTTTTTGTGGTGAAACAAAGACTAGAACCAAGGTGTCTCAGTCCCTAGTCTGGCACGGTAACCATTAGGCTTGTCTTCCCTCTCTTACAAATCTTCCTCCTCGAAACATGAATTTGGTTCTCACTCAACTGTGCTGCATAATTATAAGTTGGTGGAGGTACCATGATGCTAGAGGACCCTCACCCTACAGAGACCTCCCAGTGCTGCATTTCTGATGACATTATTCTGAAGGTGGCTGGCCTTGCTCTTTGGGTAGGTGTGTCTACTTGCATTTTACAGACTTCCGCTTCCTTATGGTCGCCATGCCGAACCATAATTATTTGTTTGTTAAAGGTGAGAAAAGCATATGGAACCGCAAGGGATATTGAGTGGGCTGTGAAAGAAAACCTCATCTACTTCCTTCAGGTGAGACTTAAAACCAGGATCTTCCTTGGCTTCTCTTTGGCTCTCACCACTACTATTTGAACACCTCCTGTACATCCAGGACTCAGTGTCACCAGCACCTGCCTCCATCACTTATCTGTAAAACTCTTTGTTAACAATAGTGGATGATAGCTCCCTGCCCCACTGGGTGTTGTGGAGACTAAGTCCCACTGGGCATGTCTACTCGAGATGCTAACCTGCCATAGCGATGCACTATGGCACCGTAGCGTCCATTGGCAAAAACCGTGACACCATCGCTACATTACCATAGTAATGCATTCCCTCATTATAGCTCATTGCTATAGCGATGGAGAGGCCAAAAATAACTGTACAGCTGGCACGGTGCGGCATGGGCTGTTACTGTGACATCATTACCGTACAATGATTTTGTACTTCCTTTTGTACTAAATCATGGCACACGAACAGCCTGCCCTGCACTGCGTGCACCACAAATGGTTATTTTTAGCAACTGCTTTGCTGTAGTGGGGGAGTGCACCACTATGGTGAAGTAGCTCCTAGTTGCGTGTAGGTGCATGTGGACACTACGTTGCTGTAGTGTGTTGTGCCCTGTATTTATCAAAACCATCCAGGTCCCACTATTTACTTCCTCAGTCTCATTTTGCTGCTGGTTTGAGGCCAGTGGCTTCCTGTCCCCAGAGCTAGTGATGGATTCATGTAGACCTGACTCAGTGGCCGGGACCTTCTTCCCACGTGCACATTGGATGGCTTGCACTTCTACTCTGTAGTATGTTTTTACTTAGGTTGGTGGAGCCTCAGGAGTTGCACTGGTTACTTGCCTCTAAAACCAGCTTTGCCTACCACAGGTCAATAAACTGGTAAAACCACAGGGATACAAATGTTTTTGTCCTCTGTTGAGGAACAGGATAATGGAGTCTTCAAGTGCGGCATTATTTGCTGAACTTTCTGTATGAAGGGGGGGAGGAGGCGGGTAAATCTTCAGAGTCCTACTTTGAGCAGGGGGTTGGACTCGGTGACCTCCTGAGGTCCCTTTCAACCCAAATTTTCTACGATTCTATGAAAACTCTATCAGAAAAGTGGGAAAACGAGAGAAATATTGCATACATTGCTGGCTACAGCTGTGTCAATGTGCCTCTGAATGATCTGGATCAAGCCAAATAAGGAGAGCCAATTTGTACTTCCATTTAGGCTAGGCCTATGACATCTTTCAATATGGAATCAGATTTTGAGCTGATGCATGAATTTGACACCGGGTTACCTTCGGATCTTCAGTGGTTAACAACTGCCACCATCAGGTAACTTCTGACTGTCCACGAACAGCTTTGAACTGAATGGTTTCACATGGATATCTTGATTTACTAGGCCAAAAGCATGTAGCCCTTCACCATTTAAACCTATAAAGAAATAGGTGTTTCCATTTGATATGCTGACTATGCACCGCTCCTGTTGGATACAGTAGGAGCAGTGATCTCTAGCCACGAACTGATAGAGTAACTCCATTAACAGCAGTAAACTGTTACCCCCTCTGGACCAATTGCAGGAGTGGATGACCCATGCTCTGCAAAGCATATCCTATTATCCCTAATTCTCAATGGGTCGTTCAAAATGGAGCAAATAAACCCTGATCGCATTTGAATAGCCTACAGAGTAACTGCATGAAGTGTGCAATTAGAAAACAGAATCAAGTTAATTATGGCAGTGCTCTATTTGGGTTTTGTGTTCTGTTTAAAAAAAATAAGCCACATGCTATTTCAATGTTGCAGTCTAACCTCGGAGAATGAATGTTTTTGGCTATTCACAGTGAAGTAGCTCCTAGAGCAATCACCCCGTTGACATGGAGTGTATTTGGGACAGCCACACAGTATGTCATTCAGGTAAGATTTTTTTCATACAAACAATGAAAACACATGTGGCCTGATGATAAATAAGAGCCTTTAGCCATCATTCCCAGTAGTAAAACCAGTGATGAAGAATCCTTGCTTTTATGTACAAAAGGGGTGTGGAACAGAGGGGCATAAGGCTGATGAATTGAATCTAGCCTACTTCCTTTCTTTTTTTGTGTACTTGTGTGACAAGGTATTTAGCAGAATTCACAGATTCATTGAACCATGAAACAGGGTCACACCATGTTTGTTGCTGCTGTGGCCTTGAACATGTAACCTGTGGGCTATTAGCCATATCCCTTAGCATCTGCACCACCCTGAGTTGCATCATTTGGGCTGTAGGACCCCTGGAGAGACCAGAATTTCAGCAGTGGGGCTAGTGGCAGTGACATGAACCCTGCTGTGTTAGCCGCGACAGCGGCTCAGGAAGTCCCATGGGTTAATACCTCCATCACTCACCTTGCCACCACAATCCTTGATACTGATCCCTGTTGGGGACTCATTTTGGTGGAGGAGGGCAAGTAATGGTGGTGTTCATTCATGCTGAGACACTGTCAGAGTTGGGTCCAGGTGTGGGCCATTTGAGTTTTGCACCCTTCATACAGAGCACTTTTCATCCAAATAGCTCAGTTCTTCATGTAGGGGCAAATCCATTATCCATATCCATGAGTGAAGATATTGAGAAACACAAGGGGGCAAAAATCTAATTGCCTTTCCCAGAAACTTTCCAAAATGCTAAATGTAGAGTTTACATTCAGTTTGTTGCTGCCCCTTGTGTTTAATGCGGGAAATGTCAAGGCCATATGAGTCCTTCCTTGTTATTTTAAATCTTTTCCTCTTTTCATCTCTGTGGCCTTTGACATCCCATGGTGGGAGCAAAGGGAAGGGGAGTCAAACCTATATAACAATCCTGGACTGATGGCAGATCTCCTTGGGCCCTGTGCTCATCTGTGGTGCAGCTCTGGGAAGCTCTGCAGGGATGCTGTCTTGGAGCGGTGGGGTTTCTGTTGAGACCTGTAGACTGCTGCAGATCTTCATATATTCCCCCCGGTGCTTGGGTTGCCTCAGTGATTGCTCTACAATGGTTTGGGAGGGCCTCAGATTTTCCTATACATAAGCCCTTTGACATGTCTTACCCCAGGGGTACACCACTCCCTCTGATGCAAAAGAAGTAATTTCCTGATGTCTTCTTCATCTCACTGGGTCCCTACTGATCATTAGGAACAACATGGACAAGTGCTTATTTGTTGTTTCCTTTATACCCTTTTTTCCCTCTGTATTGGTTATGGCTCAATCATGACATCCCCCCTGTAGTTATCTTTTCTGCTTGGTGCAAGGGGCTGGACCCAATGATCTTCCACGGTCCCTTTCAGCCTTACAATCTATGAATTTATGAGTCCAGAAAAAGTGCCTGGTTAAGATGCCCCTTTATTCTTCAATACAGGCTGCCCTCACTGCTAAGGCTTGAGTGGAGAGGAGAGCAACTACTCCCCCACCTGCTCTCCTCCTGTGGTGGTCAGTGCCTCAATGGACATAATTGTGCCTTCCTTTCCCTCAACACACTGGAGCCAGCGCAGGTGGAGAGACTGTCTGGCCCTACTAAGGTGCTTTCTCAAATTATTTCCCCACTGGAGCAAAAGGAGGAACCAGGGATCAGATTGGGACTTTCAGATTGTTTCTCTGGTTCCTGCTATGCTCCTTGTACAGTGCAATAGTACAACACCAACATCAGGTCTCAAATCTGGCTCCTAGAGGGTCAACTCCTTGCTCTGAAGACACAGTGTCTGGGAAGCCCCTAGCATACTCAGGATACTTTGACATACTAAGTAATAACCATAATAATAATGCTTTGCTTCTGAATCACTTCCAGCAACTTGGTGCGCTCAATGGTGGACTGTGTCAACTCAAGCTGCACAGCTTACGTGGCTTGGATATGTACTGTGGCCATCTGTTCCTGAGTATTTTGGTATGGTGAGAAGAAAAGAAAGGCTTTAGAATGAATGATGATCATCTTTGCTTGTCTTGAGCTTATTGCAAACTTGTGGATAAAATATTCCCTATGCATCCTTTCTGTATAGTTATGTCTGCCTAAAGAACGATAAAAGGCCGTTTATTAGCTGTGTAATTATCTGCGTGCAAACCTAAGGCACCTTCATCTTACCTGTATGACTAAATTATAGAAAACAGTGTGGAGGACCCACACACCTTTAGGATTACCGATTTTTAGGGACTTGAGCAGGGTGAAATAGGATCACACGTAGACATTATGGATATCTAAGTATCACTTGGATGCAGAATAGGTGGAGCAGGATCTGACCCTAAATGTTCCCCATGGAATAAAGTAAGGAATATAGTGGTCACAGGGCATGTCTACGCATTCATTAATGCACCATAGTTACTGACCATTTAGTTTAGTACTTCCTTAATGAAGTACTAATTGAATGCGCAGTAAGTACATTTACTGCGCAGTAGCACCAGCGCATGGTTTTTTGTAACGCTTACTGCACAGTAGCCTAATAACACTGTGCAGTAGGTTATTAGAACAGTTTTTCACTTGGGTAGGTGTGCCCACAGGGTATTAATCGACACATCCAGTATATATGTAGCGTATACAACTGTATACAGTGTATGTACAGTTGTGCATATATAACTGCATATAGCTGTGATTTATCAGGTTACTCTGCCATGCATAGAGAGGAGAGATGAGAAGGAGCAAAGCCTCCTTTTCAAAGGTGCTTGTAATTATTTTTAATCTTGGTGGCCATCACCTGAAAGCCCTGATCATGGGAGATGCAGCGATGAGTGCCAGTCCTATCAATGACCAGTACACACCTGCTGTTTTCCATTTTCCCCACATCTGTCCAGTACTTGCGTTCTCTTCCATTTAGTCTTATGCTGCTTCCTGTGAACCATCCAATGTGATAAATCAGAAGAACAATCCTCTCTGCTCACCAGTGGAAAAAGTAGGTGCTTATTAGGTTCTTGGACTTTTCAAAACTAAAACATCTGGCTCTTTTAATTCATCTCTTGTGTTGTGTTTCTTCTACCAGGAGCTGAATGACCTGGGCTCTCACGACATTATTTTATAGTGCTTACATTTGTCACCATGGAGGAAGATCTTCAGCTTCAAGTTCTTGAAGGTAAACTAGTGGAATACAGTTCCAGGTCACTAGTGCATCCAAGGTCCTCATGAGCCCTTGCTGATTTAAGGTAATTATTTTAACACTGGACAGACCATTTGAGGCTTCCAACATGTTTTAACGATTTCCTAGTTGATGTCTAACATGTATGAAGAACCTACTTGTGGTTTCGGATACACCCAAGCTCTTCTGTTTTATGTTAGGAGAGGGGAAATATTTCTTCTATTTTCTTTTTTTTAGAAGGTACTTTATTGATAGGGGTCAAATGAAGAATTTGCATATTAAAAACCTTCATCCTGTAGATTCCAGTTCATTTTGATAACCAGATATAAATACGAAGTCCTGAACATATGTTGTGATTTTAAGGATTTCATGGATTTTTTGTTTTGTAAGGAACTGTGCATTTAGTATCTGCTGAGCAAAGGGTAGGAAATGGCTGTGAACAAACTGGTAACAGTTCTCTGACTCCCTGTCTGGTCCAGCACTGGATCTCTTAAAGGCTCATATACCTACTGCAGATGTTTGGAGGTCTCTGCATTTTTAGGTTTCTTTTTCGGCTCTAGCAGTAGATCGAGTACCATGAAGGTTGTTTTTTGATGACCATAAATCTACATGTCTATGATATGCCAGTAAAATATATATTCAAGTTCTTCTATTTTGAATGAGATGTAAAAACTGTAGAAATAATTAATTTTCTTGCAAAAATCACCATCTTCTGATCTTTTGAGTAGCCAAGTCAGGGAGAAACTAGATTGTGTCTTCTCTTCTTTAATAGTTCTTTAATAGGGTTCACCAATCATTATCAGTTGTTCTGCTGATGGTTTTATTGTGGATGAATGCAGTTATGAAACCTTGTAACAAGATGAAAACATTTAAAAATAATAAAATAAAACCTTGGGTCATCAGCAGGAAGTGTATTTTCTATGTACTACATATATCTAATCATTATTTTTCTCTTTATAGTTTTAATTAGGTTTAATCTGGATGCTTCAATAAAGTCTATTAATCACATATTTTTCCATAAAATAGTTCAAGGTTTATTGAATAATTTATTCATTGAATAACAATCAAAAAGCTAAAACCAAATGTGGCATTATATTTAATAATTATTATGATCATTAGCTCAGTGTTACTATTTTTCCTAGTGTATGCCTGTTCACTCCTAAAAGCTCCTGTGTATTCTTGTGGGCTTTCCTAGTTTTTGCTCAACACCTCCTCTAAGCAGCGGTACTGGGAAGAGCAACTCCAAAACTTCAACATCCCTTCTGGCAGCAGTGCAGCTGAGGCCTACCTCCATCTTACTAAGTTGCTGCCAGAATATTTCAGTGTAAGTAGTTCTTTGCACACATGCTATAATTTTTAGGGTCATTCATGAGCTCTGCTTATCATTTGCCAACCAAAAATTCCCCCAATCAACAATGTGAGTAAAAATAGTGGCCTTATTTTCACTTCACTTGTCTATCTTAATAGACATTTTTCAATGATTTTCCTTGCTAAAGTGTGGTTTGATTTTATTTTGATTTCTGAAATGTATTTGGAGAAATTAGCAACTCCACAGAACTCAAAATAAAAACTCACTCTTATCTGGCATCCTTGAAAGAGACTGTCACATACATAAGCAACGATTACCAAGATTAATATCTTGGACAAGTTGGTTATGTACCCCACTGTTGCTTATGCTTGCTTTTGTTAGCTGGTGGATAACTTGGGTCACTGTTTGAAGGTTAAATAATAGTAGCATCCAGAAAAGAGGAAGAGAGACAGGAAAGGAGTGGTAGAAGAGAGAAAGATAGAGGAGATGGACAAAGGAAAAGTAGCATAGTAAAGAGGTGATGCTTTTAAAGAGTTATTCGACTGCCCTATTTTTGATCAGTAGTATATCTGATCATTCTTCATTTCCCCAATTATTTAATATATGTGTCTCCATTTCCCAAGTTATATGGGAATAATAATGTTTATCCACTTTTGGTGAAGAAACCATTTTGGCTGAAAACCTACACACTGCCCCTCATTTAACAAGGGACTTACAGACAAACCTGACTACAATCACTCTTGGAATCAATGCGTTTCCACTGTATTTAAAGGTTGACCTATGCCTCGTAGCGTTATGGAGTGGGGCTGTTGGGGAAAAGCATTAAGCTTGGGTGATGCTTCAGCACTGCAGTATTTCATAATATTTCTGTGGAATGAAGGGTGTCAGGCCAAGAGCTGTTGAGAATTTGGGGTGGTCTGCTAGTTAATATGCTGAACATTAAGCAGTAAGAAGGATTTAATGTCAGATGTCACTTGTTGGGCAAGAACAACAGATATACTATAGCCTTGGACACTGGGGTGATCCCAGCTGTCATGTGACTTTTAGTTCATGGCACAACAAGCCAAAACCTGCTCTCTGACTGGTGTGAACCAAGAGAAACTTCCTGTGTTTGGCAGAGCAGCTCTGATTTACCTACGTGTAACGGGTCCAAATATCCAGTAGAGTCGCAGCCAATGCACATGGGTGTTCTCTCACTAAAGACTGTGTCAGGTAAGGCTTTTGGCTGCATTTGAAATACCGTGACACATGTTCCTGCTGCATTTCCAAAACTAAGAAATGCAGAGGCCTTTTGAAATGATAGAAAAGCAAGGTTAATGGAACCCTTTTAAAAGCATGACCTTTAGGACTACGCTGCACAACGTCCATGTCAGGTATGAGCTGGAAGTTGCAAGCTTGTTTGTAACTGGTAGTTTCTCTCCTAGGCTTATTTAACTTCAGTCATGAGCTCCTCAGCCTTGATCCTGTGGGCCAGTTATTTGATTGACGCTTTGTCTCAAGGAGAAAACAGTAAGAGGTGGATTTTATGTTTTCACAAAAGTGAGCACAGTGTTTACCTCTGCCAACTGCATCTTTGTATGCTGGCTGCCATCCTGTTGGCCAACATACCAGCAACTGGGGCATGGACCTCCCAAGCTACTAACTGGAGCTATTACAGCCTGACCTAAAGATTCAGTCCCTTCCACTGAAACTATAACATATCCCTGTCCTTTGTAAGCTGGGCCTTTGCAAAGTGTTTTACACCTGTTCTCCGGTTGGATTTCTTGTCCTGTATCGAACCTGCTATTCGGTATGCATTTCAATCTAAATGATTTGCTGGTAAGAAATCCATAGAAAGTGTGAACAAAGCATGGTGAAATCTGCCCTTGAATTGAAACCAGCCGGGAAGATGGACACACCATTACCCATTGAGCAGTAGCGGCCTTAGGAGAGGGCAAACCGGGCTACCGCCTGGGGCCCCACACTGGCTATTGACTTATGTCCTGTGTGGAATTTGTGTTGTAGCTGGGCCAACATGGTAGATGCAGTGAACCTAGAATATAGTTCAATATTAAAAAAAAAACCCTCTTTCTTTCTTCAACTTATTAAAAACTTTGTTCTTTCTTCAACTTATGCCTCTAAGGGGCCCCAAATGACTCTCTTGCCTAGGGCCCCCACAACCCTAAGGCCACCACTGTATTGAGTGCCACTGTAGAAACTGCAGACTTGTCGTTTTTATGAAACTTAGACTCCCCATAGCCTTTTGTCCATGAATACACTCTGAATTCACCTCTTTCCTGTGCCAGAATTGACTGCCAAGGCCATCACTCTGCTCTGCAAGAACTGCCCGGATGCTTTGTCTACAGAGCTGCCTCATTCAGTAGAGGTAAGCTTCATTCATATCCCTGGTGCCTTCCCAGGCTTCTCTGAACTCACAAAGACACTAGAAATGGGGCCATTTCTTCAGAAGTAATGGCAGTGATGTTGAACAAGTCATTTTACTCAGCCATTTCTATTGCTTGCTGTAGTTTTCATTTTACAGGTCAGAGTTGCCACATACAAAACATAGAACAGATCATCTACTTTTAAGCCAAATCAACATGGTATTTAGTTAACAGCCCTCTGGCTATATAGTGCCAGGCCCTCAATTTTCACAAATTGTTCTGAAGTCTAGAGGGTAACCATCAAGTTTGCATCCATCAGAAAAGGCAAAGGATTGAGCTTGGACTAGGATCCCGAGAATCCTATTTGTGGCCATCTCTCTCAGCTGTATTCCTTGCTTTTGTCCTCTTTAGATTAGGTTACATGGTAGTCCATTTGAACAGCACTCAGAGCCAGTGTAATGCCTTCCTTTAGAGTAGATGAACTTGTTCACTATCTGGTTTGAGCTCAGAAAGCTGATTTTTCCTTTAACAGCCATGGCTGGTTTGGATGCTAGCTAGCAGAAAGACTGCTTCACCTCCACTGTTCTGTCAAGAAAGCTGGGACCGGCCAACTGCTTGAGTTTAGGTTTCAGTTTTCATGGTTGCATGTCAGCAACTGATGCTTAGAGTAGTCCCAGGTCTTTTGAATTTGCTTCCCCTTTGATTCACAGAGCTTGAATTTATTGATCTCTGGGGCATTCATTATTCAAAACCCATCACTTTTGTGGACCTCTCTCTTTGGTCAAGTACTGAGGTTGTAGAGCTGATAATCATTGCAGTTTGGTGTAAAGTGCTTTTTGAATTCCCATATTCAGTATTTGCCTCTAAGCAAGTGTGTGTGTGTGTGTGTGTGCGCGCGTGCGTGCGTGCGTGTGTATTTTCATGTACACTAAATAACCCAGTGTACTGTTTTCTACCCAAGAGGCCTTCTGTGAGCTGAACACACACGAGCAAAATGAAAATAGCCACCCCTTTGTTATTTGTTTTCCCTTTCCAGGTGATAATCCAAGCTGTTAGAGACCAAGGAAACAGTGCAGAATTTGCAAAAATGGATTCACAGGTAAAATACTGCAAAATGTGCGTGAAAGCAGCTTGCAGTCTTTAGAAAGTGAAGTCTCTATGCATATTTAGTAGTCAAGAACTTTTGGTGATTGGGTTCGATAAAAATATACATGATTAACGGTGTCCCCTAATTGAAAGAGCTGGCAAATGAGTCAATCCTACACTTTTAAAATATAATTTGCCATTAGATGTATTTAATGTTGAAGTCTGATGTTCCAAAATATTTGTGCCATCAGAACTGAACTGCTCCAATAGTCACACAAAACATATGCTGAAGGACCCCAAGAAAAATGAGTATTTCCAAAACACTGACTCCACAATTGAACATGCTTTTGCCATATCCCCCCAGCTGTACTACCCAGAGCGAAGGTGAGGAGAATATCACAGAAGACAATTGCTTTACCTGGTGTTCTCTGTCTTCCTTTGAGGTATCAGTTGTCCCACCACATGAATAACATTTTTCCAGGGTCACAAATTCATGAGCAAAACTGGCTAAACACCAGATTAATACTGCACTTGGCATATTCTCAAAGAAATTAAGTCCACTCTGGTTCCTAAGATGGCTGCTGAACATTATTATTATTCGTTGTGTTTGTATTGTGGTGGGGCCTAGAGGTCAATTCCAGTCAATTCATGGCTCAAGATCCTCTTCTGGTGGGCACAGTACAAACACAGGACAAAGAGATAATTCCCATCCCAAAAGACTTGCCATCTAAATAGTAATGGCACCAGTATGGCTACTGGAGAATTTAAAACCAAACAAGCAAACAGAGCTGAGAAAAAACAGACCATCCCACCAAGTTCATCATAGACCCCATTTACTAATATGATGCCTCCTGCTTCTGACATATTAGTGCACAAGCACATTGTAAATCAGTGATTCAGGGAAGAAAATTAATGTAGAAAATTCCTTTCCCAGACAGCAGTGTCATGGCTGCTTTCAGCTGACAGCGGGGAAGCTGGAAAGGCGTTTCAGAGCTTTCTGAAAAGACATGGTTTCTTCAGCTTTGGAGGAGTAAGTGCAAAATTTGAATGAATATATGAGGGCTCACAAACTTCCCTTTTGTTCAGAGCAAGATTTAATGCATACTTGGGAGAGCAGTAGTGCTGGGGGACTTGCTCAAGGAATTGATGATGGGCAAATATGCCAAACCAGACCTCTCTTGGTTTGCTATCTGGTACCACGTAAACCAGTACAACCTGTTTCATGGTCAGGTTGTTGGTGACTAAACTGTCTCCCCTAGCTGGGCTAGTCTGGGTGAGGAGGTGTGTGGACACCAAGAATGACTTAAAAATAAGACCTGTCAAAGGGCAGATGAGCTCCCTGTGAGTCAATGCCCATCCATACCTGGAGAGGAGATGGGCACCACCAGGTCCTTTGCCCAAAGAATCACCAATGATGCAAAGCAACCAAACTAATCTTATACTGGATCAGTTTGAGGCCTGGGTCTACAATGACTGCATCCAAACACAGGGCAGCCTGGAGGAGGGTTTTTACAGCATCTAAGGTGCCCCAGTAATCGCAGCAGCCTCAGGACTGACTTGGTTAGACTTGAAATAAGTTCAATGGCATAATTTGACCATTGTGACTATCACAGAATTGCCACAGGTGAAATCACAGAAAATGTGGCCTGTAGTCAAACCGATCAGTTGGCCTTTGAATGATTATGATGCATCTACCTTCTCACTGTTCATAGCCACTCAGACCCTGATACATTTCCACTGAAGAAGCAAGTGTCATTTGTAAAGCAGCCTTGAAAAGGAGAACAGTCCATCTTTGACTTTGTCCATAAGTCACCCATAGGAACCCTTGGTGAACGCAGCTGGCATATTTAAAATAGGTTACACCAGAGTCAGGCGCTGAAATCACACATTTGTTTGTTATAGGCGGAGTTGAGGAGCAAGTCTTGGGCTGATGATCCCACCCAACTGATTCCACTTATTCAAAGAGCTGTGGAGTCTAATCACATTTCCAAGAAGAAAACCCAAACATCAGTAGAAGAAGCCATCGCTGCTGTAAAAATGCCAATCACTGGGTTAAGAAAGTAAGCCAGTGCTCTAATAGCCTATTTACAACTCAGACGTAAAATAGTTTAATTAAAATAGGAACGATATTGTTTGTATGACACAAGAATGCTCTGTGCATCCTCTGGGGTAGAAATGTTTACAACTCTCTAATCTGATCCTTTCTGGGTGCATCAACACAAGATATTTAATGCACAGAAGACTAATTCGACTGCATGCTAGCGTGGCGGGCAAAGGTGAAAAAACGTTCACCTGTGCTAATACACAGTAGTGCCAGTGACGGCACATTAAGTTAGTACCTGTCATTAAGTTTAGTACCTGTCATGACAGGTATTAACTTAATGCGCCTTAATTATGGTGCATTAATGAACATGTAGATGTGTCCTCTAAGAACTTCAATGCAGGACAACTTGTTTTCTAGAGCCAAACAGCTGTAGAAAATATCAAAGATTCCTTAAGTGCTGTTACTTAGTCAAGTCAGAAGTAGATGTACACTGTTAAACTGTTTGTCATCAAGAGCACATGGTCTAGCGGGGAAAGCACTGCTGCTTAATAAGAACCAGGCTTCAGATGAATGGGACACACACAGCTCCTACTGGTGCACTCTCCTCCTTGCATGTACATCTTTCCCTATTGTTTTTCTGATAGTCCATCCCCCCTCCTACTGTATCCTGTGAAGCTACAGTGAGTCCTCTCTTTACATTATTTGGAGCAAACCTTCCTTTTACATAATCCCTGGCCAAGGTAATTGCCCATCCATCCAGATGGAGTAGGATCCAGGAAGTTATTCCAAATAAACCAGGCAAGTTTTTAGGGCTCTTAGGCAAATCAGTGTCTATTATGGCCTAGTAGTGTCAGATACCAATAAGGTCCAGAAATAGGGAAAGTGGATGTCACTGTCATGGGGTCCCTTTAACAGCAAAGTCCTACAGTTGGATGAAGGCCACCACTTGCTCAGTGTTCCCTGTTAGTTTTTAGTTTGAGATAATGGTAAACTTAAATTCCTCCTGGAATTATGCAAATATGTTCATTTGTTTTAAGCAAGCATTGAAGCGTATTAACAATTGTCTCTCCATGTATCAGGATCATACTTCCCTTTTTGGTAAGAAAAGCAAGAGATGGGATTTCCAAGCGAGAATATTCAAAGACTTTAGCCAGGAAGGTTTATGCTTTATTCAAGACAGCATACTGGGAGCTGGCCAGGCAGATGGTAAAAGAGGTTAGTTATTATTTTATCCCTCTTTAAATTTACAGTAGCTAAATTTGACAGCCCTCATTCCTCTATCTAAATGCAACTTAAATATTAAAGGGACACGGTTCAAAAGCCTAAAAAGTATAGCCAGAATTGTCAGAAGTTCTGTGCTGGGCTACCACTGCTTTTATTGACATCACTGGGAGCTTTAGCAGCGACTTCAGTGGAAACAGGGTTTGGCTACTGCTGGGCTCTTCTGAAAATCTCAGCAAAGGTCTCATGACAACCTGCTTAATAATTCTTCCCTGTGTAATGAAAGAGAACTGTCCTTCTCCTACTTTACGCTGTTTGCAAATGCCTCCTACTTCTTACGGCGTGAGCTATAGAACTAGTCTAGCTGTTGTTAAGATAAGGTAACCGCCTTGAGTTTCCACTTCTGCTTGAGAATTTGAGAAGAGCTAAGACCCCCTTTTTTACATCCCCAATGTAAATTGTTTCAACATAAGCAGGTTTCTACCCTTAACGTACTTGCCAGTGGGTGTGTCAACACATGCAATTAATTTGCCGCAATAGACTCCGGCCTACAGTATGCTGGAGTTTATTGCCCCCAAGTGCACTGTTTGAACGTGCGCTCAGGAGTGCAGCACGTTGATCCAGGTTGAAGCAGTCATGGCCGGCAGGGGGCCCAGGGGGTCAGCCTGCCAGCCTGGAGCTGCTCTGGCATGGCTCATTGTGCTGCGATGGGGCTGGCTGGGGCATGAGGGTGCTCCGGTGTGGGGCTAATCAGCAGACAGTCCCTTGTGCCCCGGCCAGCCCCATCAGCATCTACATGTGCACTGCTGTGCACAAAACAGCTCTGCAGCAGGGTAGTACTTGTAAATACAACCACCACCCTGCTGCAGAGTTTAATAGGTTCCTGCAACCTAATAAAGCCACATGTTTAGACACCGAGATATGTACTGTGGAGCAAATTAGGCAATTCCGCAGCAAACGTCTCATCTAGACACGTCCAGTTTGTCCCTTCGATCACTGTATTTCCAGTAGTCTTTGTCATTCCTCTTAGGGTTTTTTGCCAGATGAGGACTTGCTGTTCTTCCTAACGCACTCCGAGGTTGGAGAAATCTTACAGCACAGACCTCTGGACATAATCCTCAGGGGAAACATAAAGGTGTTTTATGTTGAATTCTCATGCCCGGCAGAAACTCCCTGCGTGCGTGACATTCATGAGATCACCCAACCCAGTACTTTTTACCGAATGTTTCTCTGTTTGGCACTTCTGACCTTTAGTGCTGCTTTTTTCCTCTCTGGTCCCCAGGGCTAACAGGAGGAGAAGGATATTAAATCAACAGAATCTGTTACAATTCCCAGAGGTGAATATGGGCAGACCAGTTCCTTTACGTTTCGAGGAGGTTGCAGACCTAACAGCTGAGGCCGTACTCAGTGGTAAGGATACAAGGAGCTATACCCAATAAGAGTTAGCAGTCCTTACAGGCTTGTTGCAATCACTATATTGTTTGCATAACATTATATCTTCTGCTTTGGCCCAAGGCATAATCATTAGTCAAGGAGTGGCTAAAGGAGCAGTCTGGGTATTGAAGAGTGTTGCGGAAGCCAGCAATATTCAGCAAGGAGATATTTTAGTTGTGGCAATCCCAGAGGTCGGCTGGACATATTACTTTCCTTTACTGGGAGGATTAGTCACTGAAATTGGAGGCATACTATCACATGGTAGGCTTGATTTCAGGATCGGCACATAATTCGAAGCCAGCGATACGGCCAATAAATACCCTTCCTTTACTTTCGGTCCGGGAACTTTTTGAGGGCAGATTTCAACACTCAAGTGCTTCCATGATCCACTGTTGTTTGCAAATTCATTCAGCAAACAATTGTTGTGCTGTGGGTAGCTCTCGAGCTGGAAATCGTTAAGTAAGCAAAATCTCTGCCGTGTCAGTCATGTGGCGTCCCAGTTGCAACAACCCCTGGAGCTAATTGCAAATTTGACAACTGCCATTTGCTTCCAATGGGTCCACCAATGTGTTGTCTCTGGGTATTTGTATTAGCGAAGTGTGAGTGTGTAACGTTTACAGAAAGTGGATGCAAAAAGTTGGGAAATCAGCATTCGCTTTTGAATATAAGGGAAGATTTGTCAATAATTTTTGCATTACGTTATGTTCCCTTAAAAATGTGGACAATCAGAGTGAATGGTTTTTAGGGCATTCACCTCTTTACTGGTAGGGAATATAACTGTGGCACTGTTTGCAATGGTTTCACTGTCCTTTGCTGTAAAAGGTACGTGGACGACTGACTTAGAGGCTGGTCATAAATCATCTCTCACATGACACGACAGAGATGTTGGTTAGTCGTGTTAGTCTGAAAGGCAGCAGACACTCGCTTGAACACACAGTAGATTTAAAAGACTCTGGAGACCTCTTGTGGACAAACACATTTCTTTCCTCTCCATCTGTGCATTAATTAAAATATATCATTTCTAAGACCCTCTCTGATACTTTAACTGATTACATATGTTCCTCTTGAGTTGTGCTTCCCATTGTGCATTTTGGAGTGGCAATCAGAAAATAATATTCACATGGAGTCTCTGCTTTTCCTTCTTTCCTTTCATGACAGATTATTCATATTCCAAAGTGTCATTGGCTGTCAGCATTATTTTAATTCATGGGCACATTATGGCACTTTTAATATCTTGTTAACGGAATATAGCATCTAGAAGAGAACACTTTTTTACTCTATTGCAGGTGGTATAATCGCGAGGGAGTATGGACTGCCTTGTATTATGAAATGCAAAGGAGCAACCATCTGTTTTAAGTCAGGTTGGTTTATATATTCTTTCCTTAACACTTTTTCTTGTTAGACAACAATAGAATTGTTACTGTCTACAAAGAAATACTGTTTCCATTTATAACCAGTGAACAGAGCTGGCCAATAATGACTTTTTTTGGAAAACTTTCAAAGGAAAAAAAGAACGTTTTTGTTGGGGGGGTTTTGTGGAAAAAATTTGGAGCTTTTTTTCATTAAAAACAAAACCTTGAAGTTCGATTTTTGTTTGTTTTTGGCTACCAGGAACTGAAACCTTTCAGGCAATTGGGCAAAAAACTGGGGTCAACTGAAAACTTCCTCCTGTCAGGTTTAAATATTTCATTTGTCAAAAATAGTGTGTGTTTGTATACACATATATTAATTATGTGTGTGTAAGTGTGTGTGTGCGTACATACATGTATTCATTATATGTGTGTACGTGTATTGTGTGTGTATGTACACACACACTTATTATTAATATATATTAGACTATAAACTCCTTTTACTAGCTATTTGTTGAAAAAAATCCTAAAAAATCCTTCAAATCCTAACAATGAACTTTTCTTGTGGAAATTTGCATTTTGACCCAAAAAGCCATTTTATTCATAGTTCAACAATGGTTCTCAAAAACAGTTCAAATGTTATATCCCAAACAGCCCTACTCTTACGTAGAGGAGGTGGTATCTGGAAGCCTTGCTGGAGCATGTTTAATGAAAGAAGGAGTGTAGAGTTTCATAGGCCAGATTCATTGCTGCCAATATAGCTTTTTGAAAGAACATGAATGCTAACCTGATGAATCCAGGCAATGGAGGATTTCCTTTATGGGACAAATTCTGTGACAGGTTATGCCTCATATGGGCCCCTGCTTTTATTCCCCATATAGTGTAATAGTCTCAACCAGGGAAAAAGGAAGCTAGGTAGAATGTAGCTTCATGGATAGGGACAGACATTTTACACAAACCACTATCACTGATCAGTTCAAATCTGCAACTCAACAGAAGTTCAGTGCACATAAACCACTTTAAAATGGCTGAAATCAGTTTAAGATAAACCAGGATGGATGTAGTATCAGACTTAACTGATTTAGGTTGAACAGATTTATTGAACTTCTGTCCCAAATCCCCTCCATATTCAAATTAACTCACAGTCCCCCAGCATCCCAGGATGCTTTGCACCTTCCCCCCCCCCCACCTCGCATGGTGGGTAGACCAGCCTCAGCCCAAGCTGATCTGCTCCACATGAGCAGAAAGGCCTGCTGTAGCGCCCCCTAGCTTCTGGGGGCCACTGCAGGCTTCATTTCCAAAATCAAAAGTGAATGTCTGTTCACTTGCTTATTGGTTTAATCTACCCAGGTTAGACTAACCTGCAAAGACTGAAGTGATTCAGCTCAGGCTTTTTGACTGTACTTAGCCCATTTGACTAAATCTGGTTGTCATCTGGCACAAGACACAGCTGCCTTTTAATGCTCTGTTTTGTACTGGGGATGAAGCCAGATACTTTCAGGAAACAGTAAGGTGGTGTAAAACTAATGTGTCTAGCCCAACGTTGAGTCTAGCTTGGACAAGCCAGAGAAGTGAGAGCTATAGAAATAAGTATGCAGTCATTATTTTTACAGGGTTATTCTCATTTGTCATAAAATTAAACCCACAAAAATTGTGTTTTTTTGTTGGCAAAAACACTTTTTTTTTAATAACAAAGTCTATTATTGTTTCTGTCAAACTTTTCTGTTAAGAAAAAATATTAACTCCCTTTAATTTAATCATGGCTTCATTTTTCAGGAGACAAAGTGATATTGGATGGATTTAAAGGAACAGTGCGGAAACTTGAGGAGTAAAACTTCATGGAGGGTATACGTTATATGAATACTAGCACCAATTTGCAAAGCTGTCTGCAGCAGGGCTCTTTTGAACATTTTGCCGGGGGGGAGGAAGGGGCGTAACACTTAATATTTGCACTATAGATTTATTCATCTTTTTATAAATAGCTATAAATAACTTCCCATCTGTTTCTGTTGATCTAAAGTTTAGGTTATCCAGTTAGGGTACAGAAAAATGCAACATTTTCCTATGCCAAAAATACTAAGTAGCAAATCATAACTACCAGTCACGGTTGTATAGACAGTCTTTTGCATAAAAAGGGCCTTCTAAACTGTTCACTGAAAATTTGTAAATGAAGGGGGAAAAAAAAACATAGACCTTATACCCATTTCACAAAGTCTTCATATAGAGAAGAAGGGAGCTAAATTCAGTTGAGTAAATTGTTTGCTTCAAATAGTTCAACAAGTAAAAGTTAAAGCAAAGGAGGAAGAGAAAGTGAAGGAAACTCAAACATGGCAAATTTTAAATGGATCATAGGAAATGCTTTTCTACACAATTTGGAATTAGCCTGTGGAGCTCCTTGCCACAAGATATAACAGCAGTTAGACCAGGGGTGGGCAAAATGCGGCCCGTGGGCCAGATGGGGCCCGCCAGGCCATTCTATCTGGCTTGCAGGGCCCCTAAAAAGTTAGAAAATTAATATTTATCTGCCCTGGCTGCTTGTCATGTGGCCCTTGATGGCTTGCCAAAACTCAGCAAGCAGCCCACCCCTGAGTTAGAAGATTCAGAACAAAGGACCATTTACAACCCTAACAGGGTTATCCAGAACCACAGCAGTAAAAGTTTTTTTTTAAAGTAACCAAGAGTTTTGGAAAGGATAAAATCCTTCCTTTTCGATCTGTAAATATTGCAGGTAGGGGTTTCCCTGGGACAAATTGTTCCATAACCATCTCTACCATGTTTCTTGCATCTTCCTCTGAACCTGGTGGACATGACTCTGGGCCCGTGGATTCCTCTACTCTGTCGTTTCTGTCACTTATGAAAAATGAAGTGATAGAAAACCCTGTCACTCTGGTTCAGAAGCAGCATTTGTCTGCTTTTACCTGTAAGCATTCAGTAGCTATTTGTCCTGCTGCACTCTTACCCTCCAGCGACTTCTTAAGTCTTTGATATATTTGATTTCAAGACCTGATGACTTCCTTTAAACAAAACAGAGCTGGCATCCCTGCAGGAGTAACAGAAGGATTTTTCTGTGATATATGTTATCCAAGGACGCTTGTCCCCGTAATCGGCATTTATCCTCTAAAAATGTTTGCGGTTTAATTTTCTTTTCTTAGTTTAGCTAGCTTAACGGCGATTTTTGTAACGTGGTACCAGGAGAAGTGGAACGTGGTAACAGGAGAGGCGTAACGTGCACAAGGGCCCCAAAAGATCAGACTAGATGATTTAATGATCCTTGTTCTGGCCATAATGTCTATGACTTGACATAGTTTGCAAAACTAAGTGGGGAAAAAAGTTATAGTGTAGCACAGAGCATCCAATCAACAGATATATCCTTTTTTTTTATTTGGAGGAACTTCTCCACCTGTGAATCCACATTAAACGGACTGAAAAACTAATTTGGGAATAATCACCTGATTTTCCAGCGGCCAGAGTTTTGTGCACCAGCCTCCAAGTATGGAGATCAACCAGCGAAACAGTTGTGTTTATTATTATCTTTTTCCTTGCCACTTATGAGCTCAAAGTTAGAGAAAGCTGTCCTCCTCTGCTCTGCTCTGCTCAGCTCTTCCATCAGGGTGGTTTTTTTGCTTTGTGCTTTTTGTCCCTAGTTCCCAGACCCCCCATGGTAAGAGACCTCACAGTAAAATCAGGGGGGTGCTGGGTATTTTTTTAAAGACAACTCAGACACTGTCCCTAGTGATGTATTTTTTTCCCTGAGTATAGTCTTGGATTCTGGCCATAGCAAAATCCAAATATGGAACTGGAATCTGAAGCCCTGGCCTACTTTTGCTCTCTCCTTCTTATCCAAAGCATTCTCGTTTCACTTTGACAAACCACCGAGGAATTCAAGTCTGAGGATTATTTTTAGTGGTACATCTTATCGGCCAATTAGCATTTTAATTTAAAAATACAAAAGCCTATCTCTCCGTTCACAGTTACTCCGTCAGATATGAAGCGATTGTTTGGTTACAGACTTCATGAATCAATATTATCACGACTCATGAAGTATCTTATTTGCTTTGCGATATGAGTGTTTAACATATTTTTATTTTATATATATTTGGGGGGAGGGTTACTTTTATGTGCCATGAAAACCACAGTGATCTCAGCAAGCTATTTTCCTGTTGTTAAGCCCTGAACCCTAATCTGAAGGAAACAAGCGCAGCTTCTCTTATTTTCAAACAGATAAGATTTGCGAGGTTATTAATCACAGATTCAAATGGCTACAGTGGGAATTGAAAATGATATACAGTTTTATATAAAACTTGTCAACATTTATTACCAAGTCAGACCATCTGTCCGGTGGGAGCCTTAGAAAGTCATTATGTGTCTGGTGTATGATAAAGAGCGATTTTACCGCATAAACAGCCATGACATCATGCTGAACTTACATGTTCTTTCATCTGCCTCCTAACCGTACAGCTTCTTTTAAGGCCATTGCACTGTGCTTTGATTTTTGGATGGGGGGGAGTTCTCTTTTCTGCTATGTATCCTTTAATCTGCTGTTTTGTTAGTACAATAAAATACTGTTTTTCTCTAAGTACTGAAAACCTTTCTTTGCAGATTTATTGGATTAGCTTTTTAGCTGGCGTAAAGCAGCTTCGTTTCAAGGAGGTTAGTTTATGCCAGATGAAGATTTGGCCCATAGCATATTTTCTTGGCCGGTCTGTGGGCTGGAATATGGCCACCCTTCTTAGTGCTGGTGACATTTAATTTCCAAGAAATTCTGTTTTTCCCGTGAAAAAAATAATAATCCTGGATAGCGCCCAGCCTTTTGGGAAAAAAGTTGATTTTGCTAATTTGCATTTTCAGTGTACTTTCTGTTCCCTTATTCAACCCTGTTGCTCTGGCTGAATTTCACAAGTGAACTATATATCAGTGCTAATGAAGCTAATGAAGCCATTTGACAATTGATGATGCCACGGAATTTGTAACAAGACAAATTTCTTTTGCTGGAGCAGCAGCCAGCGCTCAGCATGTTGAACCACATTCGAAGTAGAGGTGCTGTCATCATTCAATATAACATTACCATTACTATGATGATATAATTTAAAGCATTCATAAATATCCTGTTGCAGACTTTTCATTGGCCATTCATTGCAACGCTTAGGTCTCAAATGAGTTAAAGAACATTTTTACTAACTGATAAATGTAGGACTTAGAGCATCTAAGGATAGAGACAGATGTCACAGCTGTATTGATATCAAAAGATAACCAGAAGCTGTTATGCTGCAACTGTTACCTGCATGATTTTGTAGCGATGCAAGCACATGGCTTTGACCCAACTTGAACCCAACTCCATTTAGGGTCAGAGTTTGGGTTATTTAGCTAACTTGCATTGTTACAGAATCTTTCAGACATTTAACAGATGGTAATATGTGATGAATATTCCCCTTTTAAAGCAAATACATGCTTATAACATATGTTCCTATGTGCAGCCTATGTTCATATGCTAAACACTATGTATAGCATGTAGTAGATGAGCTCTTCCCTATTCTGTTGTATTAATGGCTGTAATAATATTTACTTCTGGAATACTGTAGGACTGACATGGCCTCTGAAGAACAATTTGCAGTGCAAACGATTCTGGTCTTACCTTATAAACAGAAGCTGAGAAAAAAATCACAGTATGAAAAAATCCCCAAGCGGTTCTGTTCCAAAGAACAGAAGACTGAAAAATGTCTGCACTTAAATAGGTTTAACTGTGGCCTTCGGGGAGGTGGGGAAATAGCTTGGTGAAAATACTCGTTTTAAAAAAAACGTATTGTCCCTTGGTTTCTGTGACTCTGTTGCATCAGTGTTTTGCTCCTAATTAGGAAACATAAAGCCTCGGATTTTGGCAGTGGCCAAAATTACAAGCGAGGAGCCTGGTGTATGTGAAAGGAAGGCTATTCGCTGCAGAGGGGATTTTCAAAGGGGCCCACTATTGTTTGGTGTTCCCTCGCTGGATTTCGAGAGACTTGGCTTCTGATTCCCAGAGCTTCCTTTGAACATCTCAGTCTTAATGTTAAATACAGCACAGGGGCTGATGCAAAGTCTGTGAAGTCAGCGACTCTTTCCTGGGAGATCAGTGCACTGTGGGTTGGACTGATGGTGAGTTTTCGCTTTCATGAGTCGGTTTCTTGACCCTAATGGCTCCAGATGCATACACGTATGCTAACTGTGACCTGCTTTGAGGTCATTATCAGTATTCCACGCAGTTCTTGTAGTCATTGATTTTTAATATCTGGGGCGGGGGTGTTGTTTGTTGTGGGAGCATTGTGTGTGGCGGGGAGGAACGTTCAGTTATTTTCCATCTATGGACAAAGACATTTCCAAATAGCCCAAATGTTGGGGGGATGCTCACTGTTTTTATTGGCCACTCCCACTGCAGGATACTTGAACAGACCCCAAGGTCTCTTAGAGGCTGAAGATGGGAGTCAATAGATGTCATGGTCTGAGGGCAACCCTGAGACAAATCTCACCGAGGTCAGTTATGCAGACCTAAGAGGCATACGTATCAGAAAAGAGTATCTGTACTGCTCTTCTGCATTTCTTCAGGGTACCACATTACAGGCACTTTTCTTAGAAATGGCTGCTGTGGGATATGTCTCAGTGTCCCTGCACAGAGCTCGACTCGTGCTAGGTTTCTAGCTGGGACAACCACAACGATATGTTCACGTGTCATCCTCAGGATCATGCAGTGAGCGAGTGACTTGAGCTAATTAGAAGAATGCAGCATGATGGACATTTCCTGAGATGAATTCCTGATTCAGTGAAGTACCTGAACTAGTTTGTTAAATGACAATGAGTTTCAAGCTACCTACAGTACATTGAATGGATACAGTAATAGGTAAGGATGACTTAGCATGAGTTAATGTGCAGGTGGTCCTGTTTGAAGTGCTCTAGTATAGTCTAATTTCATCCTAAGTGTCCTCTGAGTGTTGCAAAGTCACGCCACTTCAGGTGAGCGTTAACTCTGGGGTGTGCTACGTCGTTCACATTAGGGGAACTTCACTCTGTTCCATGGAAATAAAATAAGCACTTTGCAGTCCTCTAGTATCCCAAGATGCACTGTCCCCAGCCCCCTAACTCTTCAGAGCAGGGGTAAAGCCCAGGTGTCCTGGCTTCTAGCCATGGCCCTGTTCACAAGCCCACCAGTAGCAAGTCAGAGCTGTGCAAGCTAGAAACAGTACTGACAAGGGCAAGTGCTGACCTTAACATGAGACTGCTCACAGCATGCTCTAACTTTACCACCACTTAACATCCCACAGATTT